CCACCCCCCCCCCCCCCCCGCCGATGCACGTCGAGGCGGTTAGTGAAGGAGAAAGGGTGGACCACGATGGGGGAATTGATGAGGAGAGCGCCCAGGATTCGGACACAAAGCAGGGGGAAGGTGTGGACCAGGATCCTGGGACGGATCCCCCGAACGAGGAGCACAAAGTCGACGACGTCGTTGTTTCTCCCCAAGAGCCAGAAACGCCGGTCGCTGCAGAATCTACACCAACTCGCTCAAAACGTCGCTCGCGCTCACGGACGAGGTCGAGGGGCTCGCGGGACATGAAGAACAGGGCAGCGGCAAAGCAGTCGCCCCATGTCAGTTCTGCAAACCATACAAACGACTCGTCAGCGGATGAGTACTACACGTCAGCGCCAGGAGAAGATCCCCCGCCCTCGCCCCCGCTCGTTTCGCCCATCCCATCTCATTTTCTCCCCGCGTCCCATCTGCTCGCAACTCCCTTCTTCTACCCTGGGACTACGCCACCAACTCCTTTGCCTACTCTCCATGATCTCCAGAGAGGCATGGCCGGAATGGGACTATATCGATCGAACAGTGCTGGGGCAGCCAGAGCGATGGCGATGCGGAAGTTAACGGGTGGCACTGAGCCGTTCGACTTCCCGTTCATTTCGCCATCACCGACACCACCACCCGGCGGTGCTCGTCTGATGCGGAACAATACTGTCTCGGGTGGGGAGCGGACAGCAGCGAGGATGATGCTATTCAACCGTCTTGGAAATAGGATCAGGGCAGACGGTGATCAGACCAGCGGCGGCGAAGAGGTCCTGCCCCCTGTTCTACCCCCCAAGCGAAGGCGGCGGCGGTCAAAGCGTAACTCGTCGCGTGCGTCGACTGTGGTCGACGATCGAGAGGAAAGGGAACCAGCTTCGACTACGCCTACGACTCCTGTCGTGCCTCCGTCACCTCTTCCCTTTTCGTCATCGTCAGCTAGTCGAGCTGGGAATGGTCATGCAACGCGCGCATCGCCTACTATCAAATCGAACGGAAACATTCCTTACGATTACGAGAAGCCGATGGGGCATAGAGGCGTAGTCGTCGAAGATGAAGATGAGGTCCCGGAGCGCGAATTGCCGCATCAGCTTCCTCTCCCGCACCCTCCGAGCACCCCTGCACGCGGGCTCGGGCAAACATCAAGTTCGCGTTTACCACATTCTTCAGATGCCCCATCAAGTACCTCGACCGACTCTGCACCGGGTTCGGCAGTCGGGGTCCCGGTATTTTTGTCACGAAAGACGCAATATGGAAAGGATATTTTCCCTGCGAGTCCATTTGCGACACCTTTGAAGGAAAAGCCTTATCCAGATGACGATGAGCAGGTGCTATATCAGGAGATGCGGAGCAAGTCGCGCCTTGCCTTTGAGCGTATGAGCGAGATTAGCTGGGTTGCTGAGCCAGGTATGTCTCAAATAAATGTGGCTGTTGCCTCGTCTCATTTTATGTACAGTTCCTGAGCGGATGCCTCTGAATGATGATGACGAGGATGAGGATGAGGACGATGATGATGATGAGGGGGAGCTAGAGCCAGATGTGGAACCTGAAGCCGATGAGGGCGAAGGCGAGGGAAATCATGCTGAAATGTCCGACCACAGGTCCAACCGTAGTAATGACCATGCCTCGCCTCGACCCGGTCCTCGGCAGGATTTGGTTGTGGATATAGAAACCTCACCAGAGCCTACCCCCGCGCATATGACACCATCCCCGATCTCACCTATAATTCCCCTCACGTCTTCTGCAAGTGATGCACTTGCTAGCTCCCAGATATCCTCTACAACATATCCGACGCGCCTTTCTGTCGCGACTCCCAGCCAACTAGATCGTTCGCCGTCAAGCGCGGATTTCCCCGTGTGGGACGATCCGCGTGCTACGGTCACAGATTCTACTATCAAACGGACTGAATCTACCAGCAGGTGGGAGCGCATGAAGAGTGCTATGGGCATCTCGCGCAGCGCTTCTGTTAATGGACGCCGTTCTCGTACGAATAGCATTCGCGACCCTCACAACACAGACTCCAGCATCAGTCGCGAAAGCCGTGCGAGCATATCGAAGGAGAAGGGAGAGCAGCCAAACCATGATACGCAAGCTCCGTCGGCGTCAGCTTCAATTCTGTCTTTGCCCATTACGCCGGCAATAGGACCCCATTCCCCCATTCCTCCCGCTAGCCATAACGACTTCTCAGTCTATGGGCTTGATTCTAAGCTGTTCCCTTTCCCCGGTATTAAGGAGCTTGAGGCGCAAAGGAATCGTGCAAATCGGATAGCTCAGTCAGCGTCGAATCCCGATGTCACTTCACCTAATGGTCTTGGTGTTGAAGCAACTCCTAGCTCTGGCTCCTCCAACTCGACAACGCGGGTCCCTGAATCTGGTAGAGAACGGAAGCTGTCTCATCAGGCGTCGGACAGTCGCCTGCTGCCAAAGTTTAACGTTGGCTCACCTCCAGTGTCGTCGGCACCTTCATCAGCGTCACATGCAGATTACTTTAGCATCCCACCTTCGAGCTCCCCTCCAACAAGTGCTGGTGGAGCGCCAAAGCTGCCGATGAATCGCGAAGCAGTAAAGAAATGGCTCATCGCGAAGAAGTTCTTGCCAACGCCCCCAGCATTGACCCCGAATCTCCCATCGCCTCCCGCAGATGGTCGGACCCGAATCGGCGACAAGAAGCCATCCTTGTCTGAGTTGCTGCTAGGCCGGAAAGAGATCGAGCTTGGATCGGACTGGGAAGACCTTAGCCATGAAAAATCCCGCACACCAGCCAGTCCCTCTAACAACACTACTCTAGGCAACAACCGCAAGGCCGATACACGACCTACCGAGGTCCACATGGAGACGCAAGTCATAGCGTCCCACGATTCTAAACCGGAGACGATTCAGCCACTTAAAGGACTGTTGCAGCTGGATGCGAGACAGAATGGTGTGACTTCGCCTTCGCTCTTCTCTACTTCATATCCATCGCCGCCCGACCCACCATCGTCGACCACCCCGGATCCGCAGTCCTCGTTGGACGAGTTCCCTACAAGATCAACGTCAGTGTCATATTCGGATATGTCGTCGTCCCATCATTCGCCCGATCCAGCGTATCAGGAGCCTTCGCAAGGTGTGGTTGTTTTAGAGCGCCTTGAGGAGGTGCTGGGTCGCGGCTCGAAGAGCTCCCTCTGGCCCAACGTCGTCGATGACCCGCCCCGGAAGCTCGTACTGTCTTCGCCCGTGCTGCAGGTCGCCAATGCCAATACTGTCAAAGACCGGTTCCTATTCCTCTTCAACGACATTTTAGTCATCGCTAAGCCTATCGTCCAAGACCACGACAATTTACTGGATCCTTTGAAGCCGAGTCCGCTGGACAGGAAGTTTATTGTGAAAAGCGTTTGTCACCTCCGCGAGCTAAAATTCAGTGGGGACCGCGACGAGTCTCGGACAAAGGCGCTTAACACGTCAGGTACGACAAGGCATCCCGTCGTTCGCCATTTTGTGCAAAGTTTCTCCAAGGACCCGGATAATGCGGTCATTGTTCTGTTCGGCAAAGCGAATATCAGAGACGATCCTGTTGCGCTCGGCCAATTGCTTTTCCGGACCCTGGATTTAGATAGGGCTAGGCTGGGTGAATACTTGGCTCGTCGGACATCGAAGGTCGTTTTGAAAGCGTATATTGCTGGCTTCGGCCTCGCCGGGCTGCGGATTGACAAAGCCCTTCGGGTGTTCCTGCAGTCGATCAATATTCCATCGAAGGCTGTAGGACAACCATTACCGATGGAGTATCTACTGGATTCCTTTGCCAGCAGGTGGTACGAAGCGAACGCGGGGATTGTTACCTACGACAAGGACCTTGCGATTCGATTAGTACGCGCTATCGCACAGCTCAACGATGTCATGCACGGCGGTATTGCGCAGGAACCGGGGATCACTGGATATCCGAAGCGGAATGTTGTCTCGCGCGACTTTGTAGAAGCTTTCAGGAGATACGATACGAGGTGCTCTGTGACTGACGACCTCCTGGACAAGATTTATGCAGCCATTCGTCGGGAAAGACTTTCTCAAGCGCGTAATCCTGCCAACAATGGTCGTCCAGACATCCCGATTACCATCAAACGGCCCCTGCCTTCTCGCTTGACATATCGCCAGCAGTCTGATCCAATCGTTCTGCGCATACCGCAACCTGATCCAGATCTCACGATACAGCTATTCGGCCAGGACATAATATTTGATCCTCCTACGTTAAACTTCACCAGATCCTCGGAAGCGTCATTCCGGGTCACTGGGACATCGCTGGGGGCTAAGTCGATTATCATGTGGCGGTCCGGGCCAAATGGTCTGCTCTATTCCGGATTGCCGCTTAGCAATGCCCTCACGGTCGAACGGGCATTCATGCGCAATACTTTCCAAGTCGCTTTCTTGAACCATGACGGCTCCAAGCGCAAATATATGTTTAGTGTTGACGACCCTCTCATTCGCCATCAGTGGTCGGTGCAGCTCAAGCGGCAAATCGAGATTGCGTCCTCAAGCATGTCTTCTGCGGAGGTGTCGGGTCCATCGCCTGTGGTTCGGAAGGCGAACGAGGCGCTCGCTTTGAAGGTCCTCCAGGAGACCCTCATCGACTCCGAAGGCGATGAATCATCAGTTCCTCTTTCGCCGGTGGATCAGGCTCTAGCTCGCTTAACCGGTATGTTGCCCCGACATACTCTTAACAACAGCATTTCCCATTCCCACTCCCGCTTAGGTTCAGGCTCTATTGTCATGGGAACCCCTCCTCGACGTCGGCCAAACGGCTCCAGCCCCCACGTACGCTCCAAATCACGAAGTCAAATGTACCATCAGCATGGCGCCGGTCAATTCGAACCTGATCTGTCCACCACTAGTACTGATATGCGTAGTGATGAGGAACAGTCACAGCCAGAAGTGTCTGGTCGGCCTCAGCAGCAACACCTATGGAGCGGGCGAGATTTGGAGATTGTCTGTCGGCAGAATAGCTTGATCACACCGATGCTTGCATACTTGCAGGTTGATCGAAGAGACCGGGATATCGCCAACGGCGCGGTCTCATAGTTCTGCATTTGTGCATCTCCCGTCCCTTGTAAGTGTCATGTTTCGCAATACGCCAGGGGCTGAAATTCATTGTCCTCGTCCCTCCAGGTCGCTCATTAGCTGCTATGACATTGCTATCGTCCTTGTGTCTACACGCTCGCTGCATTACTCTTGCTGGTTTCTCACTCTTTTTAGACTATGATCCTCCGCTTAATCTTTCTCTATCTCATATTATTTACTTGTTTCCTTCTGTTCTTTTGCATGGATATCATGTTCTCCGTCTTTGTAAATCATGCGCATCGTCCCTGTTACTCGCTGGAATACATGCGATTATATAGCTCCGAATTGAGTGGCAGCCTAACTCTCGTTAGTACGCAGTGGCGCCCTCAGTGACTGCTTATATATAAAGCCTTCAAACTTCGCAGACCTGAGCATTCATTTCAGTTCTCGATCAACCGACGGGTTAGATTTGCATTGTTTTTGCTCTATATATTTATTATCGCGTGACTACTGTTGTAACTGACTATCTAATAAATATCCTAAGAAAATTGTAAAATCCAAAAGAACGGGGAATCCAGGCTGCAATGGATGAGAAAAATTCTACTTCTTGCCCTTCGACTCAAGGAATCGCTGAGCCTCCTCGCCCTTCTGTGCCCACATGGGGATGGGGATATCAATGCCGTCGCCCAACCGTGCGTAGGTAACCATTCCAAGACGCGACATTGGTCGAAGTTTCGCAGGGTCGACGTTCACACCATCAGGAGAGAGCACGGCGTTCCGGACGTGTACCATCTTGATGCTACCCATGACAAAAGTGGTGGTGACTTCGGGACCGTAGTTCGACAACAGGTCTTGCGAGTTGAAGAGCTGAATAGATCCATCAGGTGGTGGTCCGCATCAATCATGCGAGAGGACATACCTCGCACTCGAGACTGACAGCACTTTCCTTGACACGCGCAGGCTTGACGACGGTCTGCCAGGAACAATGCTCAAGTTAATGATCAGGTACAAGGACTCGATCATCGGTGACTTACGCTGGGTTCTGGCGTCAGACCGCTGAGTGCCCACTCGTCAACTTCCGCGGGCGCATCAACCGAACACGCGTTCGCGGCGTCGAGGAACGGCTCGCTGATGATGTTGACAGTGAATGTCTTTGTGGCCAGAATATTATCCCGCGTGTTCTTCCCGATCCCTTGGAACATCGCGAAGGATACGCCGACCATGGGAGGGTCATGTGCAAGCTAAATCAAATTCGATCAGTGAGACCTGCCACGGGGTCAGAGTGTCGGCCACCATACCAAAGAGAAATAGCTAAATCGTAGATCGTTAGAACTCGGCGATGGACGTTTTAGAGAGATTAGATGTGTACCTCATAGGCGCGAGATTTGGAACATTGTCTGCGGAGAGGGAAGAAACAAATGCGATGGGGCGAGGGATGACTGAACTCGTCAACAGGAAGTACACATCCCTGACCGGTAATTCAGTTGCGTATCGACGGTACTATGCCTGAACACTGACCTTCCGTGAGTCTCTTTGAGCGGGAAAGACTTCCAGCCCTTCTTCTCGTCCTCCTTCCACTCCTTAGCGAGCTGGCTAGTCTTGGGTGCCAGACCCTCCCCCCATTTCCATCCAGGGTTGGGACTTTGGGTCAATTTAAAGGAAGGTGCTGCATTGAATTTTGGGAGGTTTGACTGGCAGGCTGGTAAGGATGTGCTGAATGTGCGGAGGAAACGGCTTGGAGCGCGGAAGAGGCTTCGGACTGGGGAGTACATTATTGAGGATGCCAAGGAGGGTGTACGAGGTGAAGGGGGCGAGTTCTGGGAGATTGGGATATCCCTGGGTTCTGTGCACACGTCCTATGTATTGCAGCCTCGTCGGGAAAAGACGTTCTTCCGTGTAGCATGGATGATGCATCCGCGCCAACGGGGGCCGAGAAGTAGATTTTTCTGTCTTGGTGAAGGGATCTCTGGAGAGATCGCCTGCGCATGGCATCACCTTTGTCACTGCCATGGACTTTCACGTAGACTTGGGAATCTTTCAAGAGATCCGGCTACTGTCAAAGGCAGGTGAAACAAGTCCCGGATACTGTGGTTGGCAGCCAAACTGGATAAGCGATGGGAATTATGTTGACAATATTGTTTCAGCTATCGCCAAGTTCGAGCCTGTTCAGGCGTGAAGGTGGCGGAAGGTCGCTCAGGATCTGGTACGGCTCCGTCGATCTAGATTCTGAGTAAGTCATGAGTAAGGTGACCTGCTTTTTCTCCCATGAGCTGACCAACGGCATGGAGGCCATGCATCGAACCGCTGCATGACGGCCGATAGTAGCCAATCGCATCTTTGTGCATTATACGCTCCATGGTGGGACATTTGTCAGTTTCTCACCGTTCACACGTTTGGGCCCATATTCCGTGTGAACAGCGTGAGAGCGCCCACCGAACGACTAAGTATGACTTGAAGATGTTGAGTACAAGTTTTATCCTTTTCTGTAAGTCGGCCGACCGAGGCTGGCCTCCGAGCATTCATGCTGATCCGGCGCACAGAATTTGGAGGTTGAAACAGATCTTGTAGCACAATCCGTTGTGTGGGCGTTGTACTATAGTTGTGACATTGGCATTTGCAAAAGTGTACGCAATCCGAAGGCCGAACCGAAGTGGCCCGACGGCCCGGCAGACGCCTCTGAGGATTTCCATCGGCGTTGACCAGCGCCGGATACTTTACTGTGCACAATTGGGCTCAGAAGGATTGGTATATTGAGAAATCTGTCGAAAACAACATTGGTTGTGGAAATAGCGCCATAGAGTTTGTGAGAGTAGTAATATGTCACACCAGAACCTATCCGGAAAGTTTGAGCCATGCGTATCAGCACGATCAAGGCGATCATGTACTACACTAATGTACACCGAATAAGTCGCAATTCCTCAAGACCATTGCATAGGTATAATACAGAAAATGGGTCAGTCGTCTCCCTAACATCCATGCATCCCAAGGAAAAGAGTATTAGTGAAAACACGCCACCTATCAGTTGAACGATGATAATAAGCAAATAAGCTACAAAAAACAAGGAACATATTGTGATTTCACCTTCACTGGGGGTGATGTGCACTAGGAAAATGAAGCACTGGGTCTCTCATGGCTTGCAAGAAGTCCGGTGAGTAGTGCCGCTCGCCAAACGTGAAAGACTGCGATGGCATTGTCAAGTAGGGATCGTGATTGCTGGGTGCCAGCGGAACCACGGGAACATTGCTGGATGCAGGTAACAATGGCCACCAATCATATCCAGGTGCGACAGGGAATGAGACCTCCATGCCAGGTATGCTCGAAGCAAGATCAGCCAGGTAGGCACCATACGGATTTGGCCCCTCTAGAGGCGCGTGAACAGGCGCGAATGCCATGGATTGCGGTTGCAGGGGTGCCTCATACGTGTTTATCGGAGCCATGTTCGGAGTCATGTTCGGTGCCATGCTCGATGTCATGCTCGGTGCCATGCGATTATTTTCCCATTGAGGAACAGAGGAGATGTCGTTGCTCAATGGGTCTTCAGCGGGTCGTTTACGAGTTCGATCAGCCGAAGTACGCGGCGCCATTTCGGTGTTGACGCGAGCACCGCGCAATAGGTCAACCAAACGAGCTGCACTGGGCCACCTAGTCTTAAGGGCAGATTCAATATAGAAGATGGCATCGCAAAAAGAGTCTTCGCACCCGCATCCGATCGCAAGCAGCTATACAATCACGCAGACCTAAAGTTGATTGAGGATCTGACGGTCTCTGGGTCACTGAACATTGATCATATTGACAGCATACTATTCAGATACGGGTGTTCGGATCCCTTCATGCGACTCACATGTGAGAATATGCATGATCCTGTGGAATTCATCAACTCGAGTGCTGACTGAATGAATGGCAGACCTACCCAGCACTCTGAAGTATCGTGGTCATGAAAGGCGGACCCCACTGGAGATCATAAGATTGATCATACAAGGTAGCTGCAAGACACGAGATAAATGAATTTCCTCATAAACAAAACTTGAAAATTCTACCAAATGCGGATATGTGGGATGCTGCACCCTGACATATGTCTAACGATTTCCACGGTATTGGATCTGGGTCAGTAGCAGACGAGCCTGGCGCAATTTGAGAACTGAATGGCGACATTGTTCAGTATGAATCATGGGGAAGCAAGGTGGGCACCCACCCAAAGCGCCTCGGTATGCTATAAGAGCCTACCATTTAGCAGCCATTGTTGATATACATGGGCTACGAGAGGAACTTACAATGGCCTGTGTAGCAGTAGCATGACTCCCCAATACTGACAGTGTAAGTAGAGTACATAAGGAGGGGGGCAAGCCCGGTTGCTTGTCGATGAGTACTGCAAGCTCTCGGGTAGGTTGATGGACCATTGCAGGAGACGTGCATGAATCTCATTCATCAAAGCGCGCCTGGGGACGGTAGAGACACGGGTAACAGGATAAATCTTCTCGATAACTTCACCATGGATGACCGCTGACGTAGATTCAGTGAGCGGATAATGCACCACTAGGGTTCCGCAACGCACAGAGAGATGCGGCAGCGTGGAAGCAACTCGACAATCTAGCCAGGAACAAGTGGGTTAGTGCGGCCGAGATGCGTGGTATGCTTTGGCACCCACAGCGCTTCGGCATCGTCCTGGATTATACAGCTCAGGCATGCATACAGAGGGAGAAAATGCGTAAAGAATACCTCTTTCACATCAGGGAGCAGTGCTGCAGAGTCACTTTCATGAATCGCCATTGGACGTCCTATAATAACGTCATTTATTTCTGAATGTGTGGTCACTAGGCTCACCTAAGAATTGAGATGCGTATCTAAAGGACAAAATAGGCTTCGTGAAGAACACGTTATGCACATTAAGACGTACTTATCCGCCAAGCAACATGCCCACCAGATCTGTCTGCGGATCCGTTTCTCCTTGAGTGTGAAAAGATCGCGCCCATCGTGCCGCCACGAATCCGAGTTCCTATTCAGTCCAAGGTCGAGGGCCTGAGAAAACTTCCTTGGTTAAGCCACTTCTCTCAGACCATCGTAAAAGTTACCATCCGCAATGCCATCCCTATACAATAAAATTCTCAATATTGTGTCGTCCTTCAGATACCGAGGACAAAAACGTATGGCTGCAGCTCTTCGTAACCATCACGAGTATGTGATCAGAATTGTGTCCGATGCAGGCATGTATAGATATTGCCCGCAGTCTAATGGCCACATGTTGCTGAGTCTGTGCCCACGTTGATCACAACTCGTGGTTCAAAACCGCAAACGACATCATGAACAGAATGTCGATGGGAATAACCCACCTACGTGCAACCATCCTTCCTCTAAGCTTCCTTCAAATAAAGAAAAGAATCACTAGCCGTTCCCAATCATGCTCGGAGACAGCGTACCTATCCCAAATTCACGGATACCTAGCAAGATGAGCGCTTGGCAGGTTGAGATACGACTCTCCTGATAGACACAGTCTGCGCACACAATCAGATAAATTTTACTTAAATGACCAAATACTGACCCAAAATCCTGCGCGCCTTGACTGCGTATTCGGCTCCGATGTCCCACTCATGCCCAGGCCGTACAGGGTTCTCTTCGAGGTCCGAATAATGAGCTGCGAACGCGAACATAGAAAACAGGAGAAGCTTGGATATCTTCTGCATTCGCTCTCGTTGAAGTGTCTGCGGAGGAGCACTGATATCGACAGTACTACGAACCCTTATAATAATTGGAATTAAAACTGATGGTCTTATCCAATACATATGAGCTGGCTCACCCAAACTTCCTGGAAGATGATAGAGCGCATCAGCATCTTCGGAGAATACAATATCCAGATGACCTACTGTGCATTGTAGTCCTCCATGAAAGCGGCTCGATCAATCACCGGAAATATAGGGTTGACGTAGGTGAAATATCGCTCAAGGAGATGATCCTGCAATTGTTGATGGGGCAAGGGGATCCTAGATTCTACATCTTCCATATTGGTCCTTTCCTCAGCGCTCTGCACTCCTGACCAAAGCTTTGCCATTGGGAAGTTCCTAATCCCCCGGGCGTATGAAAATTGAAAAGGGAAAGTGTCAGCTGGCCACTCACCATACGCCGCCAACATTGCGCCGGTCCCAGCGCTGATCTCTGGCAAGCATAAACAGACCGCAAGAGTTCCCGTGGTAGCGGACCTATATATTTTCAGAAGTGATCGGTACAAGGATAGCCCGAGTCGATCACACACCTCCCGGTTCTCATCTATTGACAAATTGCCAAAAGCATCCGCGCAATCATCCAATTCATCCTTATCTGTATCTAATAATTCTTCACTCAGCATCGCATGCAGACGCATCTCGTTGGACACACCATTCATTATATGCAACTCATCCCAATGGGGATCGGTGACACTAGGCTGGACATCTACTCGTCGCTTCCGTCTGACAGGCTCTTGAGACGTCCTGTCGACAATCGGGGCTTCAAACTGAGGTTGGATGGCTGTGTGGCTCTGGTTGTTCTGAACAGGATTGGTTCGCGGTTGTTCTTCAGACCATCGCGCAAGTGATTCTGACAAACGATCCTGCCACTCCAGCGTTGGGCGGCGGTTGACCGACGGGTCTGAAGAAGGGCACACATTCGCGTGGATTTAAATCGCTGTATGAGTTTGGCTCACCGTCTTGTGTGACGCTCTCGCGGGTTATCCTTGATTGCCGCCGAGAACGGTCGCTCGTTAATTTCGGCGGCGCTGCACTGACGATCGACGCAAAGAAGTTGTCTTGATTGGGGTCCACAGATCGGCGCAGCCTGCCGCTAGCTCCCTATTCCAAGTCGTCAAGATCACTCTGTCCGACACCCTACTCATCCTCACGCACGAAAGGACCAGAATCTACCCCGTCCAAGATTTGCTGCGCTAGTGCATCCCGACGAAGATCGGAAATGATACCCCTCGCGCGAGCATCCTTGGAAGACATTATGGCCGCGAGCATACTCTCCATTTGATGCAAACGGTGCTCAAGCGCACGTATGTAACCTTTGGGTGGTCCTCGTCTAAAACTCGGCCCTGCGCAGCTGTGGAGTCGATAGCTCCACTGTCAAACATTGACATACGTACCGGAAAACGTGCAGTCTTCGCCGCAAACGCTTAGCATATGTGCATAGACTGAGCCCTCTACACCTCACCTGCACTGGCCATCAAGCATCCTCTGCATTTATCTTCGCCGGGCGGACCTGGCTCACATTTGCTCTTGGATTTCCGGCATCGGTCACAAGCTGCCCATACACTCAGGTTGGTAGGTGTCCGCACCGGAAGGGTTGATAGACACACCTCGAGAATTCCTTTTTGCATTCTGGGCTGTGCCAGCCCCCGATTGGCCTTCCCCCTCCTCATCTGACTTGTCGGAGTTGGGGGGCGAGGGACCAGATCGACGTGACATGGTCGGGACTGAAACTGGGTTACCAGCTGGGGACAAACAATGTAGGTAGGGTGAGAGCGCCTGACGTGCACCGCGAGTCCGTGACGTTTCACGAGCAAAGTATTGAGTCACGTCAATCCTGAGCTTTGTTCTCGCAGCTTGACCTAATTCTTGGAATACAGTGCCTTGAAGAGTGCAAAATCGTGAGGGCAATCGCGAATTGTCTGCTGGTGACTGATCCCAGGCTGATCTCCAGAGCAGCGGACAGGCGATAGAACCTTAGAAGCCAGTTGCGTGGATTACTGCCGTCCGGCATTGAAGACCAAAACTCAAACGGGCATCAGCTCTTATGCAGACCTTTCCGGGGACCTCGACCCAACCTTGACCAGGAGTGGTTTCAATCATACACATGTCGTAGTGCGGTCCTGCGGACAATTAATTCACACTGATAACTGGCCTGATGTATACCCAGCGCAGGCTCCGCGGCTGCCATCGATGGAATATCTTTCAACGGCATCGGGCAATAGCAGACATTTTGATGCCGCAACGACCAAGTGGAAAACAGCGACAATATTTCCGAGTCCAAGCAGAACGATACCAAAACTTGAATATCATCCCCACGACAGTACAACTTTTGAGGCGACAAATGCACACCATTTATACAACTAGCCAGTATCCGCAAAATCAACCAAAAAGCAAAGTCAACTCTGAGCCCTGAATAATGCAGAAGAATGATCGCTGGTCCTCTAGAAATAGAGGCCAACCCAGCTATTAGGCGAAGAGATGACCATGTTGTCACCACCATCCTTGTCACCGACCCAAGGGAGCTCGCCGGAGCCCGACTTGCGCACGCTGTTCTGCAAACCTGTAGCACTGTAAGATTTCGCCTGAAGGTCGACGGTGCCCCTGAATTCAGCTTGCTTGTATGTCAAGTAGACATCGCCGCTGCGTGTCGTGCGATGCATGCTGTTGATCGGACGATGGGGGAAGCCCGGGTCGTTAATGTAGAACACGTCTGTGCGTCCAGAACCAGTCGTTGTCACCAACTCAGCAACGGCGGGAGGTTCAGCAGCGGATGAGACGGGGTGAACGTGTACATTCATGGTGGCATCCCCACGCTTCGCGCTGAGAGACGTCTTGTCGACGATCGCGACGTCCCCTACAAGCCATCCGCGGGTCAATTCAAATGAGAGCTGTCCTGCGCGCACGTTCTGGTGTGGGAGGATCATGTTCTTCTCGTCCGCCGCCGCGAGCGTCAAGGTGAGGGAGTTGAGGTCGAACACAGATTCCTTGTTGAACTGCAGCTGAGTAACACTGTTCGACTGAATCTCTAGCTGCTTTAGAGCGGGAGGCACGTAGATCACCAGGTCGTATCGCATGCAGGAAGAGGGTGAGGATGGCGGAGTCGTTAGGCGCATGCGACTCGGTGATAGACCATCCTTGACCTCGCTCTCGGTAGGGTATTGCAAAATGATCGAGTCGAGGAGCGCCGCATCGCTGGAGCGAAGTAGCAATTGATACCCGATTTCAGTCAGGCGAGGTCCTCCTTCTACGAATGTGACAGTACCGACTGCCGTACCATCGATATACATAGAATGGCTCGCCAATGACTCATCGAACGGAACAGCGTACGTGAGTTCCGAGCCGTTGTAAATGTGGACAGCATTGGAACAACCAAGTGACGAGCTGAATTGAGGCATGCCTTCCAGACCGGTGGGGGAGGGCTATCGATAACGAGACTGAGTAAATAAAATGAACGACGTGTCCCCAACGACTTACGGTAACCATCCAAATGACGAATTTGATGGCATTCCAGCCGACAAAGAGTAAGCAAACGATTCCAAAGGCCTTCCAGAAAAGACCACATCTAAACACAAAAGTCAGCAAGGGAATGACATCACCCCAGATACCGCACATACCGCAGACCGCAGCAGACGCAACAGTCTCTCTTTCTTTTCGGCCTAGCTGTGGGAATTGATGTGTCAAAGGTAGACATTGCGTCGTCGTCGTCATCCACTGGGCTATGAAGGGCGACTGGACCAACGCCGCCCTCTTCAGGGGAGACACGTTGGTCTGTATTTGACATTATTCAGCACACAGATATATGACCAAGGTACCTGCAACTTACAGTCGCCCCAATTTTCTTTCAACTTGAGTGCTACCATGGTGGCGCCAACTAGGCCCCAGAATGTGAGGCCGGTGCTACGAGCCATTGTCAGACGAAACGATGGGTGGGGAAGGGACAAGAGAAAGAGTGTGTTATGCTAGTTCAGAGAGAGTAAAGGGAGGGAAAATTGTCGCAAGGATGCGGGGCGAGGCTCTTTAATGGACCTTGCACGCCAAGGGCATCCATCCTTGATCCTTCCCGTATGAGCCTAAGGCGCCAGGCACAGCGGGAGGGAGAGTTGATCCGGGATTGTCCTCGCAACCGAAACTTCTGAACGCGAGTCATGCAGACCACCTTTAGGCAGAGGCGGTCTTGTCTGCCCGGTCAGATCAGTCGTGGCCCTAAACACTGGACACGCACTACTGGCCGCGGCCTGCATCCGAATAAAACAGCTCAATGTATAAACGAGTGATTGTTGTCTTTCCCTGCCATTGAGTTTATTGGTTTGAGATACATATTCCGCAGATCTTCGCCGCAGTCGAAAAGGTACAAAGGAACGACTGTTATGGGATAACTTCGCCTGTACTTCGATTTGACCAGTGCCAGTGGCCAGATCCGACGGATTGACAGGTGGACATACAATTTGATCCGGAGGTCAGTTATTGTCGAAATGTCGTTTGCACGTATTATGAGAAGCTGTAATAATTAAATCGCGCACTGGCACCATTAAAGCGGTAAGTGTGAACATGAAGGCTAAGCCAAAGACCGTGTCACATCGTCTTCGCTTGCCAGGATGGCAGGAATACATGATTCAATGTAAAGGTCAGAAGCATGATCACGTGACTGTAAATGATCTGATAAATTTTAGACCGAAGTCAATCAAAGCTTGATGGCTGTACAAACTACTTTCTGTTGCAATGATTTTTACAGTACTTACTTGAATCATTCAGAGAAGTGATGACAGGTGCTTATGTCATGTTGATCACGGTAGGAAGTTGACTCATTGCATGAACTCAACGAGCACTCTTACTTACAGATCGATTATTCGATTTGTCGCCAAGGCTTATTCAAATTGCGAAACATAAATTTCAAGACCGTCAATCACCACATGACGTCGAGGCCCGAGAGCGTGTGCTCCCCAGATACACTTTCGTCAATTGGCTTTGTCAGTGCGTGCGCGATCGAAAACATTATATATGACGCCAAACCTCTCCGGCGACCGACTCGCCTAAAACCCACTCACACAGTACACTACTATTACAAAGATGTCTGCTCTCGACAACACCCAACACGAATCGACGGCCCTACAGGGCTACTACGGCTGGACAGACACCCTGAAAGGAGTTTACTACGGCCCGGGGTCGCTGGCGACCGCCCTCCCAAAGCTCTTGCAGGCCTTAGGAGCAACCAAGGCCCTTGTTGTCACCGGAAGGAGTCTATACGATAAGGTTTGTTCCGCTGGATCTGCGGCGTCATCTTTGGAATATATCTCACAGCTCCAAAGACAGACGTTGTGAAAAAGGTGGAGAATGTGCTGAAGCAGCACAACGCGTATGGGGCCACATTCTACGAGATCGGCCAGCATGCGCCCGTGGCGGGCATCAACAACGGATTGAAGGCATTCAAGGACGCTGGTGCAGATGTGATCGTGTCCGTCGGAGGCGGTTCCCCTGTCGATGCATCCAAGGCGATTTTGTATTTTCATAAACAGGAGACTGGCGGGGACTATCTGCGTCAGATTGCTATCCCAACCACGCTCAGCGCGGCGGAATACACCGTCAGTAATGTCAATCATGTTCGTCAGTGCCTGACGAGCTGACGCGTCCTAGGTTGGCGCAGGCTACACAAACGAAGCGGGAAAGAAGGTTGCAGTTAGTTCGCCGCTGCTTGCCCCCGCCGGCGTCATCCTCGACGCGGAATTGACTCTGTCGACCCCAGACCGCCTTTGGTGAGAATAGCCGTTTTCCTTTCAGCGGATTCCGCCGAGACTATTCTGTACAGGCTGTCGACGGGCATGCGAGCGGTCGATCACGCAGTCGGTACGTAACATTGTTGATCAGGTCTTCGCGACGTGCCGGGCTGAGGAGCGGCCCAGAAAACTTGTACAGGCCTCTGGTACCTCCTCCTATCAAGCACCTCTGTTATGCCGCTCTAGTCGACCTTTTCAAATACCTCCCACAATCGAAAGCAAACCCAAAGGCGATTGACATTAGGCAGAAGCTGCAGGTTGCATCCTGGATGAGTTTGTGGCCCATGAAGCAGGAGAAGTACAGGTAAGCTCTTAATACCAATTCCATCATTCTATGGCTCACAGCAGTTTGGCAGCGCGCTTGGTCTCTCGCATGCTCTAGGACATAAGTTAGGTGCTGCATACAGCATTCCCCACGGTATCACATCAGTACGTCCCAGCCGGTAATCTGCTGCAATCTTCGCCAGTCAACTTTGTTCTTACAGTGTTTGACGCTCGCTCCAACCGTGGCCTTGAAAGCCGAAGTAGCATCTCAGGAAGACAAGGAATGGCTTTCTAATGCCCTCTATCATTTGCGCCAAGAGCAAACGGGAACCTTGGAAAGCGATGTGCTCAAATTGTCCAATTTGATTGATGGGTGCGTATCTCGGGTTGCTTTTCGGGTTCTTACTGAAGTTTCCATGTAGACTTGTGAAGGATCTGGGGTTGAAATGTAACCTAGAAGAGTACAAAGTGCCCCGAGAGGACGTCCCCCAGATTGCAGAGTTAGCTATTGGAAACACGACTGACCCGACATATCCAAAAGTTTTGGATCTGCTGTACAATCTGTATCCCAACTGATCCGAGTTCTCGCAAGATGTGTAGGCTGAAGCAGACTGTATAAACTATAATTGTCACCAAACAGTACTTGTATCACAGATGAAAACAATTTAGACGGCGCAGCAGGTGGTGCAATGATTGAGCCTTGAGGGGATGGTGCCAGAGGCCGGGCGGGTGGCACTCGGCTGCCGCGCGCACGATGTCGCGAGAAGTCTGGCCAGGTCCGGAGTGCCGCAACACAGTCCATCCCCAGTCGGACGAGCCTCTGGTAGCGATTGCTTGACTCATGGGCGTTTGCATTCCCCACTCCAGCCTGCGTATTCCTCTCTTTATAACATAACGCGCTCGACGACGGCCGCTGTCTTTGCTCGGCGTCGAGTGGGCTGGCACTAGGCCCAGTATATAGTCACCATTCTCACACCGTCGTCGTCTGCTCTCAAATGCTAGGACGCTCTGCTGTCTCTCTCCGCCTAGGCGACTGGCTGCCAGGCCCAAACACAATCAGGCCGCCCTCTCGTATACGTGGCAGTCTCCCCGCTTCCCGGATCCGACGAGCGGACATCCTGTGCACACGACGTTCGTTTGCAGTGCTCAACTGTGCTGGAATTCTCCCAGAGCGCCCTTCGCTTGCGACAATTGCTCTACCTGTATTCATGGCTAGCACCACATTGACTCCTCGTCGCCCGCACTCGAGCCAGGCCAAGGGGACGGATCCCGCACCTAAGCCGGGGGACCATTCCGATCGCCATCATGACCACCAAAGTGCCCATGAGCAGCCGCACTCACATTCACACTCGCATTCAATATTCGGAGCGATGACCCACACGCATGGGCCGGGGGAGGATGGGCATGGACATGATGCAGAGCAGATCGTGCAGGCATTGCAAGGTGGAGGTATGTAGCGGTGAACGTCCCGTCTCGCCCGTACAGCCGTAGACTGTTAATATGCGGTACGACTTGGAGAACAGGCGACAGAGGGAGCCGCATTACCGTCATTGGGTTGTTTGCAAACGTCGGGCTGACAGTCTCCAAGGGTGCCGCGGGTTGGTATATGAACTCGGCGTCCCTCCTGGCCGATGCGGGCCACTCGCTGAGCGGTAAGCCCCGTCGTTCCATCACAGGTGGGTGCATGCTCAACCATGCCATTGCTCAGACCTGCTGGGAGACTTCGTCACTCTGCTATGCTACAAGCTCTCCCGCAGGCCTCCGTCGGAGCGCTATCCGTATGGCTTCGGCAAGTTTGAGGTGCTCGGAACAGTGACTGTCTCGCTGCTTCTCACTGGGGGTGCCCTTGGAATTGGGTTCCACTCCTGGGGTCTGCTCATGGAAACGCTTTCGCAGACAGCGACGGCCCTTCCCTCCGGCGCGATGCATGACGTGCTCATATCTGTCTCGCAAACCGCGCAGACCGTGCCTTCCGTCGTGAGCGAGCATGTGCACGCGCACGGACACGGACACGGTCATGCACTGGACCCGAACGCGGCCTGGTTTGCCGCTGCGAGCGTGCTCGGAAAGGAGTGGCTGTATCGTGTGACGAAACGAGTGGCAGACGACCTACGCAGTCCTGTGCTGTTTGCGAATGCGATACACCACCGGAGCGATGCGTACTCGAGTCTCGTCGCCCTTGTAGCCATTCTGGGCACCTGGTGGTTCCCTCATCTACCACTTGATCCTATTGGAGGTACGTTTGTATGGATAATCGCGGGACGGATACTCATAGTATGCGGCATAGGAATTGTTGTATCCATTTTGATCATCAAGCAAGGGTGGGGCGTCCTCATAGGTGCTTTGCACCAGCTGACAGACGGGGGCGTGTCTGCGAAGACTCGCACGGCGCTGTCGGAGTCTCTCAAACCTCTCCTGCCCATTTCCCACAATCCCGTAGATGTGCAATCAACCTCTCGTGGCCTATCGGATACGCAAATCGAACACCACACCGAAAATCTCCTGGCGATCCGAGACTTGCGCGCGATGCGCACGGGTGCGCTCATGTTTGTCGACCTTGTTGCGGACGTCCCGCGCACATTGGATGTGGCAGAGACAAGTGCGCTAGAGGCACAGATTACGCGGACGTTGAAGGCGGCACGGAAAGAGATTGCAGAGGTGAGGGTGAAGTTTCGCCCTGTTGATGAGGAGGTACTCCCCCACCACGGACATCATCCTACATATGATCCTGAGCGTCATCACAATTAACTCTTATATGTACGTAGTGTAATACTTCACAGACGCTTCCTCCACCAAGTAATGATAAGATCTTGCTCACAATCTAATAGTGACCAAGGCAGGCAGGCCAACTGGCAAGCGCCAAAATACTGCACGTGATACGTGTTTAATCACGACGCGTCCGATCGCGAGTCTCACCCACTCTTGAGTCTTGAGCCACTGACGACGCGTCCTTAAAGTCTGAAGTTGCTTTCGTCTCATCACTCGGAAAAATATGGCGGAGTATGCACTTAATTTCTCCAGTACTCCTTTAACGGACACAGGATCTTACAAACTCATGGAACTCCCCCCCGATCTGTGTAAACTCATTGAGGCGGGTGCTGAGAATGCGGCCGTTACGAGGTGATGTCAGCGTATAGATCGCTCATCATTGACATTCCAACATATCCCTGATACCAATTTCACTCAGCTTTAAAATCAAAGGAAGTCCGGAGGAAGACGCAGTATTGTGCACACCAGATAAGACCTACGCCATTCGATCTGTTGTGCTGTCGAACTCCGTACTTGTAGTCACTCCCGGGCCTCTCGCAGTTGATGAGTCGGGAATGGGGAGAGAAGCTGCTGTGATACGCGACCAGCTGAGCGAGATCCTGGAACTCGTCCCGTCTGTTCCGAAGCTACATAAACTGGATACGCTTCTGAGGGGAGCTGAATATGGGGAAGAGCATGAGGACGAGGACGGCGTGGAGAGTGAAGGCGACGACAAATTACCGGTTAGTGACGTTATGCACAGTGATATGCTCCGCGTTTGGACACTCATAAAGAATACTTTGTTGAGAAGAGGCAGAAGCTGTCATACCAGGAGGCACGAGACATGCTGCAGGCCAGCGACGCTGAGCTTGATCGAGGATTGAGAGAGAGGCGTATATTGATTCTAGACGGTAATGTTTGTGGTCTCGGTAGGCGCTCATAAGTTGACGTTAGTTTGTTGCAGGCAGAATACGGCCTATAGCCCCCTCATACCTTACGACCATACTTGAACTCATCCTCACACACCTTGTATCTCTCTCTCTTCGTCACGATGCCGCATCTGTGGATGAGCTCTCCTCAGCACTAGAAGAAGGCTACGATATTAGAAGGGATGTTTGTGAACAAATCTTGTGTTGGTTTGGGCAGACACATGAGAAAAAGTGGCGTATGGACGTCAACTCTATCGTCAAGGAGGTCGGCTTGGGCATTTTGAGATCGTATGAAGTAGGTAAACTCCGCGAAGCGCGCGATGTCATCACTAAGCTTCATCTACCAATCCCGCAGGATGAGCATACACCGCAGGATGAATTCATGCAGAGGTGGCGGAAGGCCGTGGGTGACTCCTTCGAGGCGGAGGTCTCCTTGAACTTACTTTCAGTGCGCAAACGATCCATGTCTCACTGCTCGTTCCGCGTTGAGTATTTGATTAGGGAAACTACCTCTCGCAGGTTGATACATTGCGTGATTCCCCTACCGCGATGCTTACATACTTTCCCTCGTCTCGCTTGCCCATCGACCCCTCTGCCCGATTCACTGACTTATTTCTCACTCGCCCACGCTGGAAGGCCGAGGAGATCGCGCCGTTCTTGGCGGACATCGTTGTCGATTCCAAAGAGCGCGATCGGTTGCTGCTGAAGTATACGAGGGCAGTAACTGATTCGGAGGGCGTGTGGTACACTGCACGAACAAAATACAACGGGTAATGAGGCATTATCAAAAATAACATTATTGGCTCTACTAGTATATAATTGAATACAGCATGGTGACAACACGCCGTGAGACATCTCAAGCACATAGCAAGCGCAGAGCTTGGCCGACAAAAATCATCGCGCCTTCCCTTTTGATCGCTTCGTCGCTGGTGCAGGAACTAGTACGGGGTCATAATCATAATCATCTTCCCCTGACTGCACTTTTTTGCGCTTCTTCCCGTCTTTCTTATCGGCGTCATACCGACCAGTTTCTTGGCGCTCTATAACATCGTACACGAACTCCCATAGACATTTGATGATGTCACCTCGCGAGCGAATATCTGGGAAGCGTTTCCGCACATGAATACGCATATTATAAAGTTCCTCTGCGCGATCTTCATGGCTGCAGCCATTCATGGCATAGAGTACCACTCCTAAGATACATGAGCATAAATTGAATAGAACGGTCTGGGGTACAGGCAACGCACCACAAAAGACAAATTCGACGGGCGCAACGCGCTTCGGGATCTTGGAGAATGCTGTATTCAGGTGGCGCGTGTTTGCAAGATGGCAAAATTCTGTGAGTACGTCGTTGATCTCTTGCTTGAACGTTGCGGATGGTGGGTCCATCGATGTCAACCACCCTTCCATCTTCTGAGGAGTTGGTACAGTTTGGTCTGGAAAATTGTAGCAGCAATAAACTAATTGTGCAAGTGTCTGAAAGTCCCTTCCACGCTTCATGTCGACATCGATACAGCTTGTTATGCCACCGTCACTACCAACATACCGCGTGTCGAGCATCGTAATCCATTCTGCCCATGGAGAAGAAATGGCCTGCAGTTTTTCTACGTGTCGCATAAGTGGGCGGCGCTACGAGTCGAGTAAAATTTGCCTACCAGCCGCTGTGAGGGGCATACCTAGCTGAACCCTTTGGAAGATGTCGCGCTCGAACCCTTTCGGGAGATTACGGTATTCGACTACGTTCTTCTCAATTCACGACGTAACGGACAATGCATGGATGCGCTTACCGCAAGTAATATGTTTTCCTTGAAAATCTACCTTCATATGTAACGGCACCTCTAGTCTTGTACTCTTCTGACTAGTGGATCGAGTATACCACCAATTCTTTCTGGTGATGGGGTCTCTGTCTATATTTGTGATCACTAAAACAAGCATGTTACAGAAGACAGAGATACCGACATGGAATCTGAAAGAATCGAAATCCGAATGTCAGATATTCAAATGATAAACAGTGGCAAAAGAAGATAAGTTTGGAAAACGAAACATGCCTACAAACGCCACAAACGCCAGTATGAAGACATGCCCGAAGTATGAAATCCAATTCAATCACAGAAAATATCGAACTTTACAGAGAACGAAGGGTACGACAAGAAAATCAGGCCAAGTACATACCTGACCGTCAAAGAACTTCTGGATAGATGTCAGTCTTTGTTTGCCGTCCACACATCGCCTGACCTCCTCTCCATCTTCTTCATATACTGCAAATACGACAGGCGGAACATAGAAATTACGATATATGGAGTCTAATAGCTTCATTTGTTTGGGTTCCGTCCAAACGACATCTTTAACACGCGGAGACAGTCAACGCACGTTGTTGAGCATCTCAAGGGGCCCGTACCTCTCTGATACGGAGGACAAAGATCAATGACCCCCTCGTGAATCAAGGCTACAAGGGTCAGACAACGCATTTCTTACGCATAGATTTCACCCACTATGCAAATCCTGAGTAGTATAAAGTCGAGCTTGAGGCGGGTCCAGACGAGAGCCGACGTGAAAGGTGGCAGGATCAACCTCTTCCTCAATATCGGACTGCAGCTCGTCAAAATCTTTGTCGTCGTCCGACATCGTGTACGAAGGTAATGAATTTTGAAAAGTCTAAATGAACTCAGAGAGAACGAACGAGTCGCACTCGTCGCTTACATAACTGCGATGAGGACTTCTCTCGCGTAGGCGCTCGTCTCTGACTGGGGCCATCACCACGGTAGCATCGAGCAGAGCATCGTTCACATTGTCTCTGCTCCTGTTTCGACTACCCACCCATCCACTCTACCTCTGCATCTGAACAACACATATATGAATTCTTCCACTTCTCTAAGCTCCTCAACTCCTTCCCCGACGACTATACACACAGACCCGCTACCACAACCATCTACAGACGCGCCCCATGGAAGCCCCGTCGTAGCCTTCATCATTGGGCTGGCTATCGTCATATTGGCATCAATACTCAATGCTGCTGGACTCAATCTAACAAAGCTAGATCATGTAGGTTTCTTTTTTCTATCGGTGTGTCGTTTAGCTAATACATGTACCCATAGGTACGTACGAGCGTAATACCAAGAGAACAACGTAGACGAGACTGGTTACGACCTTTATGGTTATTGGGCATGGTACTATACATGTGAGTAGGTGCTATGAATGGCTCGTTTCTGTTCCTCATTGAACGTGGTAGTCTATCTCAAGTAATCGGTAGCACTCTCGCCTTGGAATATATGCGTGCAGGTCAGTGCTCTCCCATAGCCTCTTCCATCTTCTACATCATATGTGTCATGTTGAGCTTGGTGACGAATCCATGCGCCTCGTGGCGCGGCTTTCAGAGCCGCGAAGTTGAGGGTATGCCTGCAAGTCATATTGCACCGCATCCCGATAATGTTTTGTGATGTGAGCATATGCCCAAAGCTTGAACTAAATGCAATTCGACCTGCTACTCTGTTTTGGTTTCAGACCAAGTTGTCTTGTGATGCTTCGGGTAGCCGATGGCTGCGAGCGGCGTTCATAATTCGCATTTGCGCTGGCTGCCCTTGAGATTCGCCTGGAGTAAAATGGGACAAGGTCCTTAATGGTAGGTGCTGCTTCGCCAAGATACTGATTGCTTTGCAGCCCCTATCATTATGCCTTTTGGTTTCAATCACCTTTCGTTGTCTCTGAGACTGCATAGCTGACTTGATTGCTGTAGAATATGTCGCTCCCCTGGGCTCTACATCTCTAATCTTCAATTTCCTATTTGCAAAATTCCTGGTGGATAGCCCTGTCACAAGTTATGACATTTATGTATGTCACTAAGATCTGCAGTTCTTCCCCTTTGTCTAAATTGTTGATCATCGTAGGGGACTATCATCGTAATCATAGGTGTTGTTGGCATTGTCGCTTTCGGTTCGATCAACAGCGGACTGGGGACGGGAACAGATGCTGCGTATCTCACATACCTGTGGACGCGTAGCAACTGGCTTCTGTTCTTCTTTTTCATGGCATTTTCCCTCATCTTGCTATATACGTTTACGTCTCAGCTTGAGCAAGTCTTGAATTCGCGCTCGGACATCAATGCTGAACCATTTACGGGCATGGGTTCGCGGAGACCTGCCTTGGCGCCCTCGGCGAGCGTATTCAAGCGAATTGTTTCTTTCTGTCAAGGAGTCATGATGTGGGTAAGGGAGAAACTCGAGATTTGGACTGCACCACATGAGGACAAGAGGATCGCTTGGACTTTGGGTATTGGTTGGGCATGCTGTGGTGGTGGTTTGGCCGGTGGATGTTTGGTTTTTGCTAAGGCTGCGTAAGTGAAATCTAAGTCATATTCAACTTGAACTAAAAACACTTTTCACTTGCAGTGTCAAGTTGATTACTGGGAGTTTGTCGCATCAAAATAAAGGCAATCAGTTTGGCCATGCCTCAAGCATCTTCACGTTCTTGCTCCTTGTAGTCACGTCTGTGGCGCAGATCATTTGTCTCAATCGAGGTCTGAAAGTCTATGATTCAACGTTAGTCGTCCCGGTATTTTATGGTGTCTATACGGCTACAGGGTGAGACATGCTCAGATTTATTGTCTCGTCCCGCCATTAACACAGTAATTATACCTAGCTTCCTCAATTCTTTAGTAAGCGGATACCCATGACCGTGTGCACTCATACCTGAAATTTAATCCAACTTGCAGATTTTTAACGATGAAGTAGACGCATACCAATCTTGGACCCTCTTTCTCATCTTTGTTGCCATCACTATCCTGATCTCTGGGGTCGTTCTCTTGACTTACAAGAAACCCGAGAAAAAACCGGCGGCTCCTGGGGGATCTGATCATATGTCATTACCCACTCGTTCACGTAGAGGTACGCCGAGGAGAACGGGAGACTACAACGATGATGAGCAGGACGTGCTGCGTGTGGCAGAGGAGGGCGAGGGGGATGCTGAGGAACTGTGGCAAATAGGCGATGCAAGCGACGATGAAGAACATGATCAACCGCATAGTCCCCGCCCGGTACGACAACGGAGAGGGAGCGCAAGGTCCAGGAGAGAGGGTGAGGAAGAGGGTGAGGAAGAGCGGATGATTGGAGGCGACAGAGACGGTGAACATCGCGAATCTACGTCCTCAGATGCGACACTTGCGCGACCGGAGAGGGATGACGAGTTTGGGGAATGGGAGCAAGGGAAAGGGTTGCATTGATTGGATTGGAATGTGGAGGAAAGGCCATTAAGTATCGTAATCACTACTGTATCCTACTAATCATCTATGGGTAATGAACAGGACTCCACCCATGCTGGGAGAAGTGGTCTCAGCTTTGATCACAGTTGAACGCTGAATAGTCGTCTAGATAAATAAAGAAAGGACAGCGAAGCTGCTTTTAGACTCGCATCGAAGAACCTTGTCCAATGTAGATATCACTAAGTATCTCCTGAGCTTATGATTGGTATGATATATTTCACGTGACAAGCCCACAGATGGAGGGTACTGATAGTCGGATATGATGGTGAGAACCTACAGTTTGGGTATTGATAGGCGATTGTTGAGCAAGCGGTAAAATGCAGCGGGAAACAGAGATCAAGCGGCGGTAGTAGGTCTTACTGGGCTCATACCGGAGAGATCGCATCATGCGCAAGGGCAAGCATGCGCCCTGTAGCCGTATTGCGAGTAGAAGAATGTCGCGCAGGAGCTGGTGAGCCTTTCAAGCTCTTGTGACAAATTGCGAGTAGCTACGCACGACGTAACCCCGCAGGCTTTGTTGTCGTTGGATTTCGCCGTACTCCAGTGTCTATCGTGTCGCTGAACTCGCAATGGCACCAGGAACCATGGTTTTCATCCTCCCTTGCAATTGTTCGATATGCATATAACGACCGTTTACCAGATACTCATGTACCGTAATTTGGTTTCAATTCTGATTCCACTGTATCATTCCAGGGTCTATCATGTCGTTGAATCCCCGCCCACTAGACACGCTTACATTTCGCAGACTTTTGCAAAAATTGATTGTGCCATTGAACTTGGTGCGAAGGTCACCGAGACACTTTAGCGATTTTAGTAGTGCAATACCATTCGCAAGTTCTTGCGATGTTATCAGCCCGTGCTGGATTCAGTCCCGACATCGAAACAGATCACGGGTATAAAAAGCGGATTCCAAATGCTTGATGCATAGTACATTTACTATACTGTACAGTTGAAGGCGTCAGGACACGTGTCCCTATTTGCTTTTTTTATATAGCTCCTTTTATTGTCCTCGAGGGCCTGGCTCTATGTGGACAGAAAGGTACGGTGTAGGTACTAATGCGATGTGCTCGGTATCGAAGCAGAAACGTTGGACGCGGCCTGGAGTACAGGGCGCACGTCAGGGCATGTCTATAGTACACCGGGTAGCCAAGAAGTTAGTAAGGGCATGAACACGAAGGGAAGATGTAGAACTATAGAACGCTACCGGCGCTGGTGCGACGAGCTTGCACCCAGCCCGTGTTAAGAGAGATAAGTGTAAACGGGTCGTAAAAGACGAAACAGTCCGCCAGTGGAGGGCGCCCTATTTGCCTGAACATTGCGCAGCGCGCGAAGTGATCACATTTGCATGCGCAGAGGAGCGTGGTACGATCTGGCATTTGAAAGGCGTTGGGTAGCTAGTGCAGATGAGCATGGAGTCGCTATCTTCCCTAGAAATTACTACTCACCTTACAAGCCCCGGCGTGAATTCAGGTTTCAACGTCTCCTGTGGGTCTTTTTCTATATTGAACATTGATAGTATTCCAGAGATCAGAATAAACACTGAATTCTCCGCGAGCGCTTTGCCGGGGCAGACCCTACAAAATAAAGTTGAAGACAAGCAAGAGTGGGATAAAGTGAGTCGAACCGTTTTGCAAACCCAAACATGTAAGTTGACGGATCGACAGTGGTCTTTGCCGCACTTTTTAAGAATCTCTCGGGGATGAATGATTTTGGATCGTGTTCCTCGTTTTCTTCCAATGCAAGGGCCCTAACGTAGCATAAATGCTTCAATGACAGGAAAGTAGGACCCGGATATCCCACCAGACGTTAGTCATTACTATGGTTCCTTTAGGGATATGGTACCCTTCATAGAAATCTTCTTCGCTGGATTGTCGTGCAATACCTATTAAGGCGGCTCGCTCCATAATCCCCATCATAGGACATAGAACACCCACCGAGAGGTACCACTGGGTGCCATCGCATGGTTTCCTTAACTAAAGCATTAACATAGGGCAAACTATCGCGATGTTGTATGCGCGGGAAGCACTCTGCACCGATAACCTCGTCTAGTTCAGCTTGAGCTAAACTTTGCTTCTCAGGGTGAAGTGCCATGGCCAAAATGAATGTCAACACCGTAGCATATGTCTGAAACTCGCCTAAGAACTGCTTTACCACAGGAATATGACAAGGCTTACCGATTCACCTCCAGCTGCATACACAACTTAGCATGAGATTCTGTTCGACAGAAAGAGTCTCCATACCTCCATACATGACTCCTGCCGTCCATTTGACACGATGTTCAAAGTTTGGTACATCTTCAACCTCTGACGACAAAAGTGTCTGTGTAAGAGACGGAGGAGCTTGACCAGATGCCTATAAAGTGAATATGTTACCATAGAAACTCCTGGATATCATCAGTATATCCATACCATTTCTCTTTTTACGTGTTCAAATGGTTTGCTGGCTAAAGACTCAATCATTTCTCGCCCCTTGCTGGCCTCTCGTTGGAATGGAACCCAAGACGGAAGATATTTTACTGCGACGTATGCGTCAGGGAGATATGTTATGATAATGAGAATGGACTTACAAGAAGGCATAAGATCACATATAAATGCACCCGGAACCGTAGCCTGAGTGATAATCGACATTGTTTCTTCAGCGAGGGTGATATACTGGTTCGATGTCTTATTCAGCGGGAGGCGCGACATCTTATTATGGATGGTATACTTCATGATCGGCTTTCTCCACTGGTAATCCATATGTAACTGACATAACAATTTTTCCCGAAGTTCTGAGGCCAGAAAACTGATCGGCTAGTACTAACGTCGTAGACAGTGGGACATACATACAGGCGGACATGGCTGAAAAAGTCTTCAGGTTTACTCAGGAGTCGCTGGCAGAGTAAAGCTGCGAGGTCCTCCTGTATAGAGTGATAGCGCTTGATAGCGACCGGACCCAATCCAGCGTGGGCGAGCTTCCTATGAGCTCGCCATTCGTCGCCATAGGGTAATAGTGCCATGCTCTGCGACATTCATGACTGGTTTATAGGAGGCAACGGAGACATGGACCATACCTGATCGAGGCCCATGAGTTCTCCGACGACGGTGAATGTTGGACGATCTGAGTACTTCCTGCCGCGCTTCTCGAGGAGATCATGGATGGATTTCATGGAACTCAGGACAAGTACACTATTGCCAAGTCCATGGAAGAATAAAATGTCTCCTTGAGTAAATTATAAGCGGCGAGTGATATATATGCGGGCCATGGACTCACCGTATTGCCTCTTGTAGTCGATAAACTTCAACCAAGCTTCTCGTGGAGATACTTCAAAAATATTGCCAATGATAGGTTTGCTTGGTGGTCCTGGGGGATATTGGCGTTTCTCCCTCCGCGTATAGAAGACAACAAAAGCCAAGACGAGTAAGCTAAGAATGAGCCAATCGCTCGCTCGAGCTGGGAAGGCCATAGAGAATAATATGGGCAGCGATAGTAGGGCAATACGGACAGCGGAGAAATCGAGGAGTTCAGAGTGACGCTCACACCCTGTTGAGTATAAGTAAGGGTCACCATTTTAGATTGACGTCGTGAGAAGTAGTACATCCTCCCGACACGTAGTTGGGTGATATCCACGATTGACGCCTAACACGAAAACATTTCGAAACTATCAGAACTGACGCGATAACGAATGAACACATACCCTGTTCGGACAATGAAAGAACGCATGGACGTGGTATTCACCACTTATCTCAACTTATGATCCCACCGATCGTCGTTACTAACTGCGGCAGCAGAGAGTCACCTGGGGCGCTGGAGCCTCGAGGCTTCAGCGCCCCAGGTGACAGTCAGCTAGCTCAGGATCATGGAATTAACTAATCTAGTAGTACTAAGTTGATTGTATTTCAAATTGAATTATGATGAGCATGCGCGTGACATCAATACGGACATACTATGAGTTGCACGCGCTTTATATTCGACCCAGTGTTTATAAATCCCGTCTGGGCTTATGCTCCTTCGCTCATAAAATCTCAATAAATCATAAAACCTCCGTATGGAACATTGGAAAAGGTCTGTCTATTCAGAATTATGAAATTCGCAAAAGAGACAGAGAGAACTCTTGCACAACGGCCGGTTACACCTCATTCAGCCAATTCTGAGTCAAGATCGGCACATCGCACAAGAACTAGCCCATAATTGATTGCATGCTGTTTTGAGCACCTTGCTGAAGCTGTATCAAGTACTCCTCCATATTCTCCGAGAGGTTTTTGTGTGAGAAAACATCATCTATGCTGTCTACAATATTTGGCGTTACATAGTCAGGATGGATGGTGACAAAATTCGGACGCCGCGCGCGGCATCTCTCGGTGGCTACGTAATTCAACGGTGGCGCTGCCCTAATCGAGCCTTTGTGCGTGTTTGGCTTGCAGGGCTGCCGAATGATGCCGATGTGACATATTGTGACCCGAGATATAAACACTTGAACTTTTCGTACTCGTCTCACCGGAAAACATCCGTAGGAGGATGTAAGACATGTAATATTTCTCTGAGTAGCTGGAAAGATAGAGGAGATGTAGATGCACCTTCCCATGTAATTATTATGTGCCATTATGGAGTACTAATTTAACAACAGGCCAAATACCGAAACCCGTGATAAAGCGCGTGCAACTCTTAGTAGCATCCGCGCTTGCTCCAAGTAAATAAACGTGATCAGTTTTCCAAGCTTATGTCTTGCGACAGATATAATACCGTAGGAGGCCGCATCTAAAAAATCACTTACAAGCCGTGAAATATAGATATGATGTCAACTCTTAACATATGTAGAACATAATAAACAGTATCTGGCTCAATGGTGAGGCAAAAACTGAGAACTACAGGCGCACAATGAGATGAGACAGCTGCGGTCCAACCTTCAAATTCGCACTATGTGCCAGTAGAGATCAAGCAGTCGATTCTTTATGCTTGCGCTCTTCAATCACACCCACTCGCCCATCTCGTTGAGCACTGTAGCCAGTAGCACCACAGCGAGCAAACTACATAGTCTCTTGTAAGCGAAGTAGATATCAGGCGAGTCCCCCCTCTCGCCAGCCAGACACCAAACAAATCCCTAGGCCTTGCCAGTAGGATGTCTTGCAAACACCCGTCATGAGGGCGATATGGAGAACGAGCCGGATATTCAAGTCAGCGTCCTTACCAGGCGGCGCAGCATAGGCATTGTCAACCGTCGCCTAGCTGCCACCCGCGCGGAAGGCAAGTTCACATTCACGGTTGATGATATGCACACGAACAGAATCGCTCGTGGTGGCACAAGCCAACTTGGGAAACTTGTGGTCATCAGTTGGCGCAGGACAACGTGGTAGACGACAAGTACAGGCCGCAGGATCTTAGCAGTAGCCAAATATTACCTAGGTGATCTGGAAGTTTGGCTGGGAACACGCTCAATTATACCAGTGACGGCGCTTGTGTCTGTGGAATGGTTTCAGTTTCAGCTTTGATACTTTATACATGTTCCTGCACATAGACAAGTAGGCCAAGAGTAGATAAATCCATGACATCATAGCAGACATCATCGCGATGCAGAGATATGTAGAGCCAACCCTACAAGTGGGCTGGTTCAATCCCTCCAAAAGAACGATTAGACCAACGAGTCTACAATAGCTTCAAGCATAGTCTCAGGGTCGTCCCAGTGTAGCTGTATTGAAGGTATGAGGTATGTGACTGAGGTAGAGAATGTGCTAGCTTTACTCACGAGGTGACTGCCCCCCTTGATCCACCTTGTATTCAAGGACCCTCCCCCTTCAGCTGCGTCTTCTGTCTCGAGATCCCACACTGCCGGGATTGAGACTGGGGGAGCGCAGTCTCCAGCAATAATCCAAACCTTCATATTCGGCACCCGTCTCCGCCACTCACGATCAAAGAGCGCCTTCCTATAACTTGGTCGAAACAATTGATTCAGATAGAGCATGAAGATCATATCGGAATTGCACGATGGCGAAACAATTTGTGCCTTTTCCTCCGCTGTCATCGTAAAAATACTGGGTATTTTTGTAGTCGAGGGAATGACGAATGATATATTCGCCAAGTCGCGCTTAGAGAGGTCCCCGTGCGCGAAGTACGTGGTAACCCACTGAATAAACATAGGGTCACGAGTTTCCGGAGGGATTGATGTATCAACAAGCGGTGACCAGGCCTGTGGCGGTAACGGGATGCCCAGTGCTATAGAAGGAGGATCTTGGTTGGAGAGTAAGGCCCCGCACAGTCTTCCAAGACCCGGATGGACGTACCGTGAAGGATGGCTGCACGCAAATGTCCGCGAAATTGCGATTGTATTTCAGCCGGAAACGAATCCAAGGACGAAATGATTGCGTGTACAAATGCTATGCCAAGAGACCACCCTAGCAATGCAATCCCACCCGTCTTCCCATCTTCTGAGACCGGCGGGAGGTTGTGCTGATTCACGAAGTGACTGATAAATGTCCCAAATTCAATGCTTCTCGTGCGCAAGAACGTGGACTTTTGGTCGTCGCTGCCATCACTCTGAATTGTGTTATCCTCCGGAGAGAGCGGCGAAGAGCCAGGATAGTCGCGACGATTGATGGCTACGATTCGTATCCCATACTTTGGTGCGAGGCGGATAATATTTTGGAACACATCTATAAAGTCCTATAAGTAGCCTCGGATTGTAGAAAACTTAGGTACTGACGTGCGCTAAAGAGATAGCCATGGATCGCAAAAACTGTTACATAGGTCGCGCTGATGGCGGAGTCCAAAGGAGGACCACTGTCGATATATGAAAATGCGGTACCATGCGCATCTACAACAGCGTACTGCAGTTCTTGCATAGTAACGCGTGGGTGTGGAAGGAGGGAGAGAAACTTTTGAGATCAACGGGTGGAAAAGTCGCTTTAATATGATATTGGATTCATGTAATGATGTCGGATAGGTACAGAGAATGTGGTGACCTGTGACTGCGTAGGAGGAACGGGAACGCCGGAAAAACCGACTATCACAGCGGTTAAAACTCACCGCATTGTCCTGTACAGTGTACGACAGCAGCTGCAGTCAGTCATGCCGCATGCGATAAGTCTCATCACCATCTAACAGCATCTCGACGAGCTGGCTGCTGACCCAAGGGCCAAGGGTAGCTACATACGGAAAGGGTTGGTGAATGTTTCATGTATGCCGAATGTTTCATGTATGCGATGATAAAGATCGACGCCGGCGGGACTTAGGCGCTAGCGCTTGAGCGCTAGTCATGAGGCAGTAGAACTTGACTTGAAGTGGTATTATGTACTTATTGGCACGAGCAAGTGCTTGCGTCGCAGCGATACTTGGAGAGATCCCGACAAGTCGGAACCTGTAGCACATTAACCCTCTAGTCACAACACGAATTGTGGTGTGAACTGAAGCGCTCACCTTCCGCCGTTATCATAGCTAATGAGCTCGAGTTACAGAAGACTTGAGAGGGCTTGAGAAGATATTCTCATTGTCACACACGCACGGATGCAGGAAGATCGATGCGTCTTCATCCCAACCCGAAAAAATGTTTCCAGTGGCAAGAAGACGCTGCGCTCAACTTGATGCTTGAGCACAATTACGTCTGCTCACACGCATCACATGAGCTGAGGGAACTTTACTCATCGACTTAGTCTATGCACGAGCTTTGCAATGCTCTCCAAGTTCCACAAAACTCTGCAAAACCGACACATATCTTGGCCATTAGCTGCTTTGTACGGTCAAGGCTTTGACTTTCACACATCCGTCTACATAAATGACGCCTCTCATGGAAACACTACGGTCTAAGCTCCGGGCAATACTCGAAACACATCCCGAGAGTAAGTCTTTACAGAATGCTATACGCCATTTGTTCCAGAATGTTGAAACCAACTCACAATCACATCGACTGACTTGGGAAATCGTCAAGCATGATTTCGACGAGCTTATGGCCGAAGGTGTATGGGTGGCTACTCCGCAGAACGTTGAACTTCTGCAAGAGCTGCGGCAGAGTCTCGCAGATAATCCAACTGGTAGTGGATCATTATTATTTTCTCAGATTGAGAACGGGGTAGCATTGGCTCCTAACGAGAATGCCGCCAGGAAAGAGCAAGACATTCAAATTGTTCTGCCTCCTTTATTGTCGATGCCACTGTTGTCTACGATTTCACTCCCCCAATCTGCTCTTCTTCCACAGGAATTACTCGATCATCTCAATCATGCATACTTCGTACATGTTATGGCCACGGAACCCCAGCGGCTACTTCCTCCGGGGAAATCACTCTTGTCGGCGATGCTTCGTCCTCACTTGGCGAATCGCGAGCGGGATGGACTGTTGCCTACCCTTCATGATCGCGTAGAAGATCTAGTGCATAGGGCATTTTGGGATGAGGTACGTGCCTACTTTCGTATAGCGCTCGAATCTCGCGTCTGAATCCCACTTTCAGGCTTTTGAATCATTGTCAAATGCCCTACCGAGTATCCAGCTACCACGAATTGCTAATTTGTACGAAGATTTGTATATTGCACTCAAACAGCTCCTCCCCTCCCACCATCCGATTCTAGTGACGCTATCTTCCCCACTCCCGCCAAGCTCGTTTCCGCTCCGTTCCGTCATCATCAATTTACGAGAGATTCTTATATGCCTCAGAGGGCGATGTGCACCTGCTCGGGACGGAGACGTTGATACACTCATGGCCCGAATTGACGAACAGGAATCTACGACTGCGGTTGGCGAACTGGCAAGACTGGTCGTGGATACAACACGATCTATATTGAAGCTTTCTGAAATTATGAAAGATGACTTGTCAGAATTCGTGCTTGGTTCCATGGATGAGACGCAACTACGAGCCATCATTGTGACACAGGCGCAGAAATTCGAAATAAAATTCGTTCTCGAACTATGGGGATCTGAGCGGACACGCAAGCTCTGGGAGCATTGGCGCGAAGGTCTACAACCTCTCTGGAGCTCCTCGCCAACGCCTACGCCTAGTCAACGTGCGTGGGTGATACGACTGATCCAATCTCTAGGGTCGACAACACCGGTATCATGCTCCCTTCCCACTGTCTGTATCGATTCTACAGAGTCGCGATCAAATTTGGAATTTGAGACAATCTCATCTAATATATTGCCGCCTCCACTGTTATTCATCTGTCCCACGCTTTTGTATCTGCAGAATTACTTTCAAGCCCTCATCATAGCTGCTTCTCTGCGCTCGCTTGTCCGCTTGCCGGGGGCTATGCACACAAGACACCAGGCGCCTGAAGATCCTGAGGACGCGAGCTTCATGGCGCGAATCTGGACACTGCTGCTAGCCGAAGTTAACGAGGAGCCCGGAGCAGGAGAGACGAAGGTCGTCAATCTCGCGGATGAGGTCATCCGTGTTCGCCGGCGGTCCGATGGCGATGGGCAGATGTTGGACCCTGACGAAGAGACCAAGTTGCGCGCCGCTGTTGATCGCACGCTCAAACCTCACGATCCTGTGTTTCTTCTCTTGCAGAAGCGTCTCTTGAAGGCGATCGCTGGCCGGTTAGCTCATCGATCCGGTGAGAGAGATCAGCAGTCGAATATCTCTCGTGTTCCCGATAGATTAGAGACGGGTCGAGAGGGACAAGGCAAGAGGCAACGATTCGTGGGGGATTTCGAGGCACTAGCCGGAGACAGACGCGCGGAAGCTGCGAAGGAGCCATCACTGATAATCGAAGGGTTCAACGATGAGGTTCTCGTCCACGCTATCAGTGTTGGCCTGACGAAGTTGCGGCATTGTATAGAGTGGACGGAACAAACTTGGGTGGATTTAACGTAGATTGAGCAGAGATACTAGTCACAGGGACGTATAGTTGCACGAAGTCCATTCCCGTTCTGTGCCTCACCCGCTGCCCCAGGGCCTGCAAGGTTGGCATATCGCAAGCCTGCCTCCAGTCTGCGCGTATGATTCCCAAAAATTCTCTTATTGTTCCGTGTATGCTCATTGGACGATTCGCATGTTTATAGTCTATAGGAACCCAACTCAACTTCCTGTTTACCCTGTACTTGCTCTAAATAGTCCTCGGTGACCATTTCTGAGTCGTCCCAATGCATCTGGGTGCGATGGAGGTGAGGCACAACAATCAAACTGCGTGTTTTATACACTCATGAAGTAATACACTCCTTGATCAGCTTCGCCCTGAAGAGGCCTCTCCTCTTAGCTTTACTGACATCGTCGTATGTCCATATGATCGGAAATACAAATGGCAGGGGACGTTCCCCAACAAGAATCCGTATTCTAGAATACAGTATCAACTTTCTCGAGCCGTTGTTGCCGCAAAGCCTTTTACTTGCAAGATTGAACATAAAGGGCATGTCCATGGTGGAAGCAAGTGGGTCACACGCATTCCCTCCTGTGACCATATTGCAGATGCTTGGCACCCGCGCGGTTACCACCACCACATATGAATGAAGATTCGGGTCGTGTGTTGAGACGTCGCTGTAAGTGAGTTATGACATGATCTGCAAATGTGACCATAAGCTGCGTAGCGCGGCCTGGCAGAGGCTGAGGGACTAATATTGCAGAAGCGAAGTTCCATCGTCTGCCCTCATAGGATGAGCATATCTGACATATTTGGAAGCGAGAAAGGATCTCTAGTCTAGTGGTGGCTGCCGTGGATGCAAGCACAATATCATTACACAGAAACGAGTACTACGTCAATGCCAGCAGCTTTCCACGGAAGGTTACGTTGTGCCCTAAAACGACTCATAAAATCGCAATTCCCGATCCTCTGGCACATAGAAACTGACTTCTTCGTCATCAGTATGTCTAGACGAAACTTCGAGGAAGGGCGAAGATCCCGCGCTTGGAGCCGGTTTAATTCATTCACTGACGCAACAACAATGCATGAAGTTTGCTATAGCCTATCTCTGTCCCACGGTCGACATTTTGAATGTGAGGCGCAGCAACCTATTATGCTTCTTGCAAACATAATGTGCAAAATAAGGACTACTGACTACGACAAGCTCGGTCTATCTGGAGCACATGAATGATCCCATCGAGATTTTTCTCCCACCGGTGCCAGACTTTATTAGTGCACCTTGGCGGGGTAGCTACATATACTGCTATAAGAGAGCGCAATGACAGCGTGGGCGATGGTTCTGTATCAGTTGACCACACTCTTCTAATACCCCTTGTCGTCGTGCAACATGCCTCTCGCTCCGGTGGACGATAACGGCACTCAGCTCCAATATGCAGACAGCGGCGCGCCCGCTGACTCGAACACCTACACCACCCTTGTGTTCGTACACGGGATTATTTTCCACGGAGGTACGTTCTCATTCCGGTCGCCCTACGTGTCGGTTCTGATCTGCGCACGAAGTGATATTCCACCCCCTGTTCCAGTATGCCGCCAAGCACAATATGCGCATGGTCACTGTGAATCTGCGCGAATATCCCGGGTCCACGCCTTACTCTCCCGCCGAGCTCGACGCACTGAAGGACGGCGGCGCGGACGGCCAAAGGCCACTGATCCGAGGACAGGGCTTGGAGCTCGCGGCTTTCCTGGCATGGTACATTCGTGCAGAAGGAATACCGCCTATCGCGCTGTCTGAGGAAGGTGATCCTGTCTCCGGGGGCATAGTGTTGCTGGGATGGTCTATAGGGAACACCACAACGCTCTCCATGTTCGCGCACGCTCCTGAGCTGGCGGCAGAGACGCGGGACTTGCTCCAGATTTACCTGAGAGTACTGGTGATGTACGGTAAGAAGACAGGATTGGTGGGCAGGCCCCTGGCTCACCCTTGTTTGTGTGGTCGCGCAGACCCTTTCTACCCGGTGCTCGGCGGGCCAGACCGACCGAAATGGCGGGACCCCGCGCTGGAGAACCCACAGTTTTCAAAGTTTGAAGACCACGCAGCAGCGACGGCCTTCTGGGCGACCAGCTACTACAAACACTCTCCCTCGCTCCTGTCGTCGCTCGCCGATGTCGATGAGGCGCAGCTGGATGCGGGTATAGCGGCAGGGCCGATGCAGGACCCGCCCGCGCACCAGACTCCCCTCTGTGTGCGCATGACCCCCGCGCAGCTGGCGGGGTGCACGCAGCCATCGGTGATTCCGACACTGATGTATCCGATATGCCACGTCGACAGAACGATCTACGACGAGAACCTGCGGCGCACCTTGTTCGACAAGACGGTGTGGCCGCACGTGCGCGTCGAGCTGCTCTGGTTCGACATGTCCGAAGGGGAGTTCATCCGCGCGGCGTGGTACATCCAAAAGGTGGTCGCAGAACGGGCTGCGGACGCGCGGACGTTCCATGCGAGACGCATGGAGGGTGCG